GCTTCTTCGTAAGTCTTGTAGATGTCCTGGCAGCACCCCTCAGCATGCTTTTCCGAAAAATCTGTGACATCCAGAAAGCTCCCCAAGGGAGTGGAGAAGCTTGGCGAGGTAGTCCCGATTTTAGAGAAAGGGTAACCGGCAATCTCCATCGAGCTACCGTCCAGTAAGCCTCACTGTCCCATTGCCCTCCCAAGATACTCAAAACTTTCGACCATGATGCCTTACTTCATCACTTCTTCGGAGTCTGGACTTCTACATGCAGCCCAGCATGGGTTTCTCCCTAAGCGGTCCTGTATCACCCAGCTATTGGAGGTCATGGAAGATTGGAGCGCTGCAGTAGAGGATGGAGGGCCAGTGGACGTGGCGTACCTGGACTTCAGCAAAGCATTGATTCCGGCCTCATAACCGTCTGCTCTCCAAGCTGCATGCTTATGGTGTTTAGAGGTAATTTGCTACGCTGGATCAGGGCTTTTCTTACCAACCGGATGGCGAGAGTGCGGGCCCAGGGCTAGAGGTCGGACTGGACCGACGTCGTCAGCGGCATCCCGCAAGGATCAGTGCTTGGACCAACGCTGTTCATAATTTTCGTGAACGATCTGCCAGAACAAGCGTGACGCGTGGTCAAGATGTTCACGGATGACACCAAGGTCTGCTGTCGTGTCCCGAGGCCCCTGACTACCTCATCTCTGCAGGTTGATCTCGATGCCCTGGCTAAGTGGTCAAAGGAGTGGCCGCTTCACTTTAGTGCAGCAAAGTGCACAATAATGTGCATCGGGAACTGCAAGCCGAGGCTGACCTACTTCTTGGAGGGCGCCGAAATCGTGACCGAGTCCACTGAGAAGGACCTCGGGATCTTCGTGGTTTACCGGCTCAAGTTTCACGTGCAGACAGCGGAAGCGACCTCCGAGGCCAACCAGATGCTGGCGGTCGTTGGACGGTTTTTTAGCCAACATCGATGCTCGCACGTTGCCATCGCTCTATAATATATTAGTACGTCCGTACTTATGAGTATGACAGCGTCATCTGGGGCCCGTTCGGCAAACTGGACTAGAAGCGACTGGAGCGGATTCAGCGACGAGCTACCCGGCTTGTGTATGAAGTGAGGCGCCAGCCATGCCCTGAGAGGCTCAGACTGTTTCAGTTGCCCTCGCTGTACTGCCATCGTTGCAGAGGAGACATGGTAACAGTGTACCAGCAGTTTCACGGAGGTATGTTGCTGTCGGAAGAGGAGCTCCTGACAAGACACAACTCAGAGGTCACAAGAGGACACTAATGGAAGCTCAGAAGACCTCGAGCTAAGACTCTCATCCGTCATAACTCGCTTCAGCATGTGGGCTGTCAATGATTGGAATGCTCTTCCATACCTGATACTGTCATCAACCTCAGCTGACCAGTTGAGTCTAAGCTTGATATGCACTAAGCTGACATCATGTATGACATCTCACACTAAATCTATCCACAATTTGAGACTGTTAGATCACCAGACCGGGGGCCTGACAAGACCAGGACCTGCAGGCCTTGTGGCCTTTTATAATTCCTGATCACCATAAGGTAAGGCAAGGTTAGGTCATGCAATGATACTGCATCTCACATATGGCCAGAAAATATTGATTGTTATGATGGAAGTTCTCCACTATATCAAAAGTACCATGGTGGGAGCCAGGATTTGTCATATGGGAGGAGTCTATCAAAATTTGCTATGGAGATATGCATTTTTAGGATAGTCTCATCCCTATTCACAGTATCTTTGTATTATGAACAGGACAGGTTTTATTATGGGCATAGGTTTTGATAGCATTTATTTATCTTATTTGGGATAGGGTTTGTTTAAGACATAGTCTCAGTTGCATTCCCAGTGCCTATGTGTTATCAGACAACTACATATGCCCCAAATACTAAGAGATAAAGCATCTAGTATATCAGTGCACTACCAACATTGATTTGCACTGGCATCAACAATTACATCAGCAGCATATTGTACACACCTTCTCAACTATCCCTCATGACTGGTGTTCCAGAAATGCAGCAATAAAATGCACTTAATCCTGATGAAATAGGGGACAACTAACATATTATCAGCCCCCATTGGCTACCAGGCTGCAAACAAATCTACTAGATATATACATAGCATCAGCACACTAAAACTTGTGCTGCCATGCCCCAATCTCAGGCCAGGGACTCAGGCCAGGCCAAGTTGTGCTGAATTCTCAGATAATTTTTTAAATGAAAATGGTTTGGACAATGTGATTGCCTGCAATAGCCTTCACATAATAATTTACTGAATATTGGGTCTCTATGCACTGGCATTAGTGGTGACCAGGCACCAACCTGAAAGCATTCAAGTACGTGATAGACATGCTCTGGGATCTTTGCTACAATGTTGCATCAATGCCAGACATTTTGTCAGCATAACATGCTTTTTTTGGCAGTGGAGCTTCACTGTGCCTGCTGAAAACATAGTCCCTTTAACACATATATGTTACAAATTCCTCATCCCAGAGCTACCTTTACAACACATTTTGGAAAATTTTAACAAAATACATTCGAACAGCAGACACTTGCGTTCACCACACCTTAAGCCCGCAACTGAGACGTGAGGAAATCTACCCCGTCTTTAGAATACACCCACCTACGTCCTACGCTGGCAACCTTTTCGGGCAGAAGAGCATGTCCGGAGGCCTTTCTGTATAGTCTAGCGGAATCCGACAACCCGCAAATTCCCACGCAGCGCCACACCCACGCACGAACTCCTCTGTAATTCCCGCAGAATGCAGCACCCAAGACGTCCTAAACTAACATTTCCTGGCAGCTTCACTCAGTGATTGACTTTGGTGCGTTTTTATTGTCAACTACAACTAGCAGTATTTAGCAGCGTTCTGCGAAAAAATATTTGAAACATTTTGAGGGCGTAGTAAAATTAACATTTTACATGGTCTTGCTTTCAGTAACGGTGGTTAATTGCCATAATCTGTTAATACATCTTTCATAAAATAAATATAGCCATCGGGCATGAGGTATAACAAAATTTATACGCATTGCTTGATGCCAAATAGCATTGTGGTTCTGCTTCGCATATCAAGGATTTTGGGATATGGAAGCTCCCTTTCTTACCAAATAGGTAACGAACAGCCAGTAGTAGGCTTATCCTTGGGTTCAACCTTGATACGCCACGGGATTGTCTGGTGTGGTTGTTGTGTTGCGATTGGTGGTGTCGGGTGGGGTGGGTGTCGATGTGTGTAACTAATCCCGAGCTTGGAAAATCGTATTGTTGAGGTATTCCTCATAGGTGATGTGCTTCTCCTAAACGTTTTATGTGAGTTTGGAAGCCTATGAACTATGCGGTGTGCTGTATCCCCAGACTTAACACAATACTCGTGGCTCAGAACTTGTCCGTCGCAGCAGCGACATCACAACAAAAAATTCAGCGATGGGCATAATTAATTCGAGGGCCCAGGATTTTATGCATGCTTGCCATCAATGGTGGCGCAGAAGGAGCAAATGTTTCTAAAAATGAAGGACAGTAATTTGCAGTAAATATTTTTAAGACATGTTTGCTGCAAAATAAGTTGAAACCCAGTGCAAGGTGGCCTGGCCTGAGTTTGGTGTATGTATACACAAAGTTCAGTGTGCAGATGTTGCAGAGGTGTCCAGTGCAGTGGATGAATTTGTAGTTTGGAGCAGTTAGATCAGCTTCCAAGTGATGTGCATTGCTATCAGTAGGATTGCCTTGTTTGACACCTATATGCATTTAAAAAGTAAGAACATCCTGCTCTAATTTATATGGCCTTGCATATGTTGGTTAGACATTACTCCTTACATTATAGTAATTGTACTTGTTATAGGCTTGTCATGGGCATGCTCAGAGGCAGTATGTGTATTTGGTGCAACACAGAGTGTTCATGGTACCTTCTTACCATATGACATTGCTCACTCCATAATATTACAACCAGTGTAAAGTCATCAGAGTCATAATGTTCCAATACTGTGTGATTTGTTGGGCAAGAAAGAATGCTAGATTGAATCATGATTTTTCATTTATCCTAAAACTGGTAGAAATACAATTAGTTTTTAGAAAGGTCTAGCATAATGTGTGTGCATTTGTACAAACTTATGACTAATTGCATGCATCAGCATCTAAATTTTGAAGGTTGTAGTCTGCTACCATATTTTTGTCTACCATGCTAATTGGTATGATGAACATGCACTGGTCATTAGTCTTAGCTTTTTCATGGCTTGAACTGAGCTACTGTATTCTTCCTTGGTGTCTATGTAAGTTTAAAACAAATTAGCAAAAATAGTGAAGGCATACAACTTTTCAAATTTAGGCAGAAAATGTGGGTGAATATGGGTGTGGTTGGATTATTGCTGGATTAGGCATTTCACATCTGAACTACACTATCAGGTTGTGTGAGTGCATTCTTCTGGTTCATGTGCTTTTAATGCCTTGATCATTTTTGACATCACAAAACAGCTTTTCCATAGTAAACTGCTGTTCTTTCTGTCTGGTCACAGTTATATTCTAAATGCTCATTTTTATAAGCCTGTAATCCTATTCCTACTCATGTACCAACTTCTATCTTATCCCTATAACTCCTTTCAACCAGTGACCAGGACAGTTGGTGTACCTTACTGCCTTAAGCATCATCATCACCCTTGTAACCCTACTGACACTCTATTCCTGCTAACACTAACAGGACAGGAACATACTGATATTGCTGAGTAAAAGTTAGCAAGAGCAATTAATTTTAGTCAGCTTAGTCAGTTAGTTTAGTAGTTAGTAGTCAGTTTAGTCAAAAATAAAGTCAGTCGGTCAAAAAATTAGTCAGCAAGACATTGCTGCTGAAAAGAAGAAAGCAGAGTGACTGTAGTACTGCAATTTCCTAAATAGCTGGTGGGATTTCAAAATGGTGGCTAATATGAAAACATGAAATGTGATACCACAAGGAACCCGCTTTCCAAGTCAATTTATTGATCACACCATTGCTGATGTGCTGTTTCAGGTTATCTACTGTTGAATGAGGGCTGAACAAATGATTGGTAGATCACAGTCACCTGCAATGAGCTGAAGCACACTGTGGAAGACAGCAAGAATTAGCATATACACTCAGCAAGAATTGGCATACAAACTCAGCCAGCAGTATGGGATCACAGGAATATGATGACAAGTTTTATTATGTGTACAGTTGTGACTTAGATGCAAACTTACAAGTCAAGATGTGAGTTATCAGTTGACCCTGACCCTTGACCTGTGATGACATTGAAATGCATGACCATGTAGCAATCTGTACACATGTTGTTATCAGTGTACTATAAGAGTTCAACTACCTTACCTTTGACAATGTTCAGAACTTCCCCTAATGCTACCCTGACCTTGAATGCCCCCAACATTATGCATGATGTACATGTTAGCACCTCACACATTTCAGGCCTTTTTATTAATGACCTTTTGTTCCCATGAGCAGTGTAAGATCTTCAGAGCAAGTATGCTCTCAGTCATGAACTTCCAAGATGCTGAAAGGCATTGGTTAAATATTGTCAGGTGTATTTGCCAATACTTAATGTTTCAAGCTGTGCTTTGGCCAAAAGTGAACAAGGTGAAGCAAAAATTCCAAAAAAGAGACACATGAATCCAGAACACCCAGAACTGTGCAAGCACTGCCACTGCAAATAATGTTCCAAGCTCCCACATCTCAGCACCTGATCCACTGTCTTGAGGAAGGGCCGCACGAAACACTGCAGGCTGTGCCGGAGAGTTGCAGTAACACTTACTGTGTATTAGGTCAGAAAATTACTTACCACAAACATTGTACATCCCCCCCCCCAAAAAAAAAATCCCAGGCATTCAGGTTCTCACGTCCTTGCTTCCGATACAGTACCGCTAAAGGTTACCTGAAGCCACGCGGCTAATCCGATATGTTTCGATAACCCGCACCGAGTATCAGGGCATAAAATGTTAACAGGGGCATTCCCTTAGCAATGTTGCTCGAACCAGAACTATCTGCGATAGCATGTTTTTTGTTCATCCTCAGGCAAAGATCATAAATGTGTGGTCATTCTCAGATTTTGTCAAAATATACATTTCTATTTTATTTTACTAACACTATACATCTGTAATCCTCGTCCGTAGCTTAACGCGCATACGTCATCTTGGAACTCGGATTGGAAAACATGCTGATAAGATGAACACCAGTGCCCGCTGGCAGATATCTTGCTATCTTTATGCTCGGACCCGGTCATCGCAATGTTTCTGTTTAGCCGCCCGTGTCTCGGGCAGCTCAGAACGGAACCGTGTATAAGGTGTCTGGACATATTAATCTGAAACCCGGCATGTTCGTGAGGCTTGTACAATGCCCGTCGTGTTGGATGTTAGTGGTGAGTAACATTCTAAACTAATGGTCCTTGTGGGTCGTCATACACTTTTCGTTTAGCCGCCTGTGTTGGGTGCAGCCCTTGGTGTATAACCATACGCCGTGCGACAGCTCCCGTAAATAAGCTATTCTTTTATTTTACGGTGTTCTCGAAATCATTGACGGTGCAAAGAAGTGTAGCTCCCTAAGATAACTGTTACGGTGGTGTCATACTCGGATCGCTCGTCGTGCCTTCAAATGCATAAACCGGTTAGCCATGTGTAGCCAATGCGCTGTGGCGGAGTACTGTGTTCAACGCTGGCAGCCTTTTTGACAGCGCTGCGTCTTAACTCTCCCCACCTGCTGCGCCAGCCGCCTGCAGCGGCTAGTTCCTGTCGCCGCTCGTGCTGACCTTCCCTTCACACATGCACTGGCCCCGCGTGACCCGTGACACCTGCGTGACCCTTGCGCCGCCGGCAGCGGGACGCTGGAGGGCGAGCGGCGACGGCCCGACTTCGAGGACCTGCTGCTCGACCCGATGCTGGAGTTCTCCGGCAGGTGGCAGCAGCAGTGCTCCGACATGTACGTCGAGGTGCAGGTGCGCGGCGCTGACGGCGAGCTCGCGCTGCCCGTCACCACCTCTTACAAGGCCTTCACCACCCGATGGAAGTGAGTGGACGGGGAAGGCTGCTTGGTCGTCGTCTCTGGGCCGTGAGCATTTGCTGCTCGACGAACTGTTAGGTTTTCTGTTGGTTTTTAAATGAAGGGCTCGATGAGGTCTGTGTCAGCGACAACAAGGCCGTGGGACCCATCATGCTTAAACATCACTGCCAGGGCAAGGTATGCAAATATGGGGGAGAATGCTGAAAAGTGTGCAGAGTTACACAATGCATCTCTGGAATTTGAGACATGCCATGCTTGTGTAACGCTGTTGTCACCTGCTGGGCGTGATCCATCGACGGTAAATCGTATTGCCCCTCCGTCTGTGAAGACGACCAGCTGAAGCGAGACGCAGCACTTCACGGGTCTGTTAACGCGTGGTGCGCACTGGAACTGTGTGTGGCGCCTGCGTGAGGATGTGGCACCGATCGGTTCACCGACCGACGCTGTGACCAGGCTGACACGAGTGCCTTGTGCCTTCTGTGCACTCTCCCACGCGTTCTCCATGCGGCGTGTGCCGTGCACCAGCGTGACACTGGCCGTGCATCGACGCGACACTGGTCGTGCATCGGCGCGGCACTGGTCGTGTACCGGCGTGACGCAGGCCGTGGCATCGGCGTGACACTGGCCGTGGATCGGCGTGACGTTGACCATGCATCGGCGTGACACTGGCCGTGGATCAGCGTGACACGGGCCGTGCACCTGCGTGACACTGACCATGCATTGACGTGACACTGGCCGTTCGTGCTGCCCAGCTGGAACGAGTGGCTGACGCTGCCCGTGCGCTACTGCGACCTGCCCGAGGACGCCTCACTGCGCTTCACCGTGTTCGAGCCCAGCCGGCCGCAGTCGGCCGCCGTCGTCGGCTCCACCAGCATCCCGATCTTCACCGCGGAGGGCTGCTTCAACCAGGTCAGCCGCCGGCGCTAGCCCCAGAGTGTAGCCCGAAACCACAACTGTTGTTGTCGCGACTGCCGTCGCCATGACGACGACGGGATCTGCTGAGGGCCGTTGTCAGCTTTGTTGTCAGAGGTGCCACTTTTGGGCTGTTTTAACCCGCACATTGCGGGCCTGCGGGCTAAAAAGTGCCACCTTTAGTGGATGAGTGACCTCAGTGCAAAGGTACGTCTGTGATTAGCACAGCGGGCGGCAAAGGCCAGTTACCGAGAAGCGCATTTATTGAAATATGAACCAGTCCGCCACTTAAGACTATCTACTACTTCTTTCCCAAAGCCAAAGTGCGCTTCGAAAAGAGCCACTGTGCCAAGCGCCAAGGGGAGAGGTGAAAGCCATAGTATAACGTTTCGTTGGTTTCGCGGGATAATAGCCTCATTTTTGCATATTTTCTAAGTAGAGTATTTCAAGCTTTTGTAGGATTTATTGCAGAAACATTTTGACAAATATGTGTAATTCAATCAAACAAACGCAAACGCCGGAGAAAATAAGGCATCTGAAAGGTATTACTTTCATGGTGGTAAGCAAGGAGTTCAGTGAGATTTTTCCTGCAAGAGCGGCTACTCGAAATCGAAATTCTGAGTCACTTGGAAGACTTTCTAGGGATTACCTGGGATTAACTGGGATTACCAATCAAATCTAGCTCGTCTGATCTAATAATAAGTGAAATGCACATAAAGGCTACACGCTCCCTTTAATGGTCATGGTTGACCTCCTCATTGTTTGAGGGACAATGTAGAGTTCCTCCGATGACGAGTGCTCTTTATTGAGTCTCCGCTCAAGCTTCGAGATGGTGTCGCGTGCTCCGTCATTTCTATGTAAAGAGGTAATTAGGGAGGCACCTGGAAGAATCCCATGCGTTCGCATCAACTAGTAGGCGGAGCTGAATAGTGCTGAGCCCGGCGTCTTTGACGGCACGACCTCATTACCGACCTGCGCCCGCCTGTAGTCACCGCAGGTCATGGCTGACCCGAGATCTTCTCACGTCCGTGACCGCCTTCTGACCTGACCTGTACCCCGACCGCCGCAGGGGCTGCACGACCTGAAGCTGGCGCCGGTGGAGTCTGAGGGTGGCGGCGGCGAGGGGGCCGCCCTCGCTGACCCCGCCCCCTCCCCCGCCCCCGCCGCTGGTACCGTCGGCTCGCCTAAGAAGGACGCCACCGATCAGATGGAGAGGCTGAGCAAGGTGAGTGACTGTCGGAGACGCCGCACTAGTTAAGGTCGGACTTGGGATGGGTTCGGCAATGGCGTGTAGCCGGCCTGGATGTCCCAGGCGTGCACGCTGTAGTGGTAAGGTGACACACATGTTTTGGCTGGGCTGTCACGTGGATCAGGTGAACGACGTCAGTGTAGAGGGTGCTTTTGGTCCGTGGCTTTTTTGTCACTATATAATGCCATCACGGTTCTCCAAATTGTAAAGGAGACGTGAGGAACTAGTCGATCAGCCAGTGAAGGACGAACATTGAAGTGAGGCTTAATTTATAGATCAGGATGTAATCCGTGTGGGAAACAAGGTTTCATGCTGGATTCTTTCCATTGGTAATTTTTTTCTGTTTATGCTTAGATTTTTCGCTCTTTTTTGTGTGACCCGCCACTTGATGCTCGTTGGACCTTTTCAATGAATATCTAGCATGGATGTCGTAACTTTCGCTTGTTTGCAACATGAACTTTTTTACTTGCCACGTGCCATATCGTGAAAAATTTGGCCCTTCAGGCCAGGGCGAACACTGCTCTCAAGTCAACCGATTATGCGGTCACAGCTGCTATAAAAGCACCAGTGTTTTTGCGTACACTGCTGTGGAATCAGATCTCAGATGACGCGATTACGAGTGCGTCTAGAAGCACGGACAGACCCTCGAACGGAAAAGCTGCGCCTTCGGTCACTTCTTTGATGTCATCTTTACTTGATCTAGCGGTGCCGGAGCTTTTATTCTATGCCATGACTTACTTTAAGCTATCCTTGATTCGGTGCCATGAATTTCGGGTAACTGTCGGCATGTGTCGCCAAGTTAAGTATAAAGAAACAGACGAACGTTAATGGTAACCAGAAGAAGTTTAATTAATCTGGCCATGCTAAGAAAATGATGCGAGTTATCTCACTAACGTTGATCAAAACTATGCTCAAAGACCTTTTGTGCGCGGTCTGGCCTACTCTTTAAATAATGTATTTCTTTACGCCGGGTACGGTTTCCGCAAAAGTGCTGCTTCAACACTATCCGCCAATTCCACCCTGCTATCTGGAATGCTGCCTTGCTGTGCTCCGCAGTACATAATAGTGCATCCATGCCTAAGTTTGTCCAGCGGCCTCATGATGCCATTATTACCTCCCGCATTGTCAGGGAACGACGACGTACATATTGCATGGTATCGGCATCGGCTTGTGCTCGCATGGCTTGGAACTGCGATCTGATCAGTGCTGGTGGGTCCCATTGTTTATGTGCCCCACCCTTCCTCGGCCGGTCGCTGTGCACCGTCTGCCCCACCATGCGTGGGGCGGACAGATCAAAACGGACCGGCCCCGGATGCAGGACTCCGGAACGGTCCGGACGCATGACTCGGGATGCAGGGCTCCGGGCCGGTCCTGGCGCAGGACTCCGGACCGGTCCGGACGCAGGACTCCGGACCGGTCCTTGCGCACGACTCCGGACCGGTCCGGGCGCAGGACTCCGGAGCGGTCCGGACGCAGGGCTCCGGGCTGGTCCCGGCGCAGGACTCCGGACCGGTCCTGGCGCAGGACTCCGGACCGGTCCGGGCGCAAGGCTCCGGACCGGCTTGCGGCACCGAACCTGCTCGCACCTCGCCTTGAACTGTGCTCCCCGGCTCCACGTGAGCACCTTCCGGCCTGTAGCGTCGGTACGCGCTCGCCTGACCGGTCCCGCTTCCGCGTTCCGCTGCGGACAGAGGCGTCCGCCGGGGTCTGGCCGGATAGGGACATGGGCGGACTCCATGGACCGTCGGTCTTGCGCCGGCCGCCGGGCTCGCACTGCTCGTCCCGCGCCTCTGTCTCGCCCTTTAGCCCAGGGGCGGCGCCGCGCCGCGCCCCCCGGAGCCGGTGGCGAGGTCGCGCTGGGCGTCCTAGAGAGGGGACCCACCCTCGGGGGATGGGTGCTCGGTGCAGGGTCGCCCCTGTTGGTCAGCGACGTGACCTTGGAGTGCCTGGAGTGTTTGGCTCCCGCGACATGTGAGCGGTCTGTCTGGCTTCTGTCACGGTCGTGTGTTCAAGCCCCGGTCAGTTTCCGTAAAATGGTTCCCGTCAGGGCTGTTTTGTAGATGCTGTTTTTTGGCGGATCTGGACGGCTGTGTGGGCGCTCTGCTCCGCAGAATGGAATGCCAGGAGTCTCGTGGAGCAGTCAGCGCGATCCGGCCTTGAGGCGAGGAAAACAGAACGGGGCCTCACGTACCATGGTGTTGATGTGCGTAATATAGATAGACGTAATTGTGCAATTATTGTTTGGCAAGTTTTCGATTTTATGTGCCACCAGAACCAAACTGGCCCTGAAGTAAGACCAGCCCTTTGCCTATTCGCTTGTGGGGGGGGGGGGGGGGGGGGGGGGGGGGGATGGACAGATGGGCGGTGAGAAGAAGAGGGGATATCACAACATCAGGTAGTAAAATATGTGGGATGATGGCTTCTGCTCTAAGGCGATGTTTTGAGCGTTTATAATAAATGCCAATTTATTGATGTCCCAAGAAAAACGAGTATCATCATCCGGTACAGACCAGGACGTTTAATGGCGATATGCAAACTATGTTCAGTTCGATTAAAATATCGTTTTCACTTAATTGCCTCAAATGAGAACAAAGAGGGCGTGCAATAAAAAGCACCGAAGTTATGGGAAACGGTGTGCTATTGTACCGACCGCACCTTGCTTGGTTCAGATTTGTGTGTCTCCTCGGGAGAGGGACCCTGGGACCCTGAACCCTGGAAACAGTGCAGTATTCACCCTATCCGTAAGCCCGGTGACACTGCGAACACATCCAATTTCCGGACTGTCTCCATCATTCCCGCCACCAGCAAAGTGGTAGAGCGGGTGGTGCAGAAGCAGCTTGACAACCACTTCTCCTGTGACCATCTCATCTTCCCTTTCCAGGCACGACTTTCGACCCCATCACTCGATGGAGACCGCTCTGGCACCCTTCCCCGACCGCATCCTAGCGCTACCAAAAGCGGGGAGATACCACTTCTGCGCCCGATCCATTTGACAAAAGGCTTTCACGTCATTGGCCACGGCCTCCTGTTGCGAAAAATCCGACTGCGCACCGTCGACGCCGCCTGGCTGGGGTCTTACCGTCAGGGATATACGCGGTGCGTCACAGCACCAGGCGCAGGGACCTCACAACCTTTGGCGAACACAATGGCCGTGCTCCTGGAGTCGGGCTTGGGACCCTCGTTTCTCAGCACTTTTGCAAGCGCCTTGGCGCTGTTTCTATGACGGGTGACGTCGTGCGGCGCGCTGATGGTACTCAAGTGCTCATCGCCGGAAAACGGAGCGATCTTCCAGCGCTCATTTCCCGCGTGGAGAACGTTGCCTGTTCTCTGGGCGTGTGGCTCTGCACCAGCGCCCCAGAGGTCGACGCGACAAGAAAGCATCGCATCGTTTTCGAAAGCCGCCAAAATCTGCCCAAAGTACCACATTTCCAGGTCACCCTCCGCGACGTAGTCCCCGCACCGAGTTAAAAGTACGGGTGTCAATTTCGAATAAGCCTTGTGACGGGACGTCCACGCGTCACACGGCGGTCGCTGCGGCGCGGGCGCCCTGACCGGCCTCTCCGCGTCCGGCACCTCACCCCGGTAGCGTCAATCGCCACGCCGGTCTCGGCTCTCGTCCCGCGCGCGTCAGGTGCTGAGTTTCGGTTTATGGAAACGGGACCGAGAAAAACATAGATAAAATTCAAAAAGCCTTGAACTCCGGCTCTCGGATTGTCTTTGGGCGTGGTGAGTCCGACCATGTGTCTGACCTGCGAGAGAGACGGGGCTGGCTGACCGCGCAGGAAGTAGCGGACTTCTGCACACCGAGCCGAGCGCACAAGACTATGGTACATCATGAGCCAGACACGCTCGCACCCATCTCCCGAGCAAGTAGCTGTGTTGGAGTACGGATTACTGCACAGGTCCGGCGGCTTTACGTGTCCCGCCGGGGGACGGGGCTGGGAGGCGGCGATTCCATGCCATAGCACAGCACTTTCAAACGTGCTCCCAACCGTACTGGCGGCGGCGCTCGTGACACAGCGAGCACTCGTGCGCGCAGTTAAGCGCCATGCACTACATGGGACCGCTGGGATATGTCGCTACCGGAAACATGTGGGAAATCTCTGATTCGTATGCGCATTAGAGTTAGATGTACGTGTGCCGCGTGACTAAACGTGCGCTTGTGCTGTATGCTGACCGGGTGTTTTGTTCCCTCATACGTGACTCAGAGATTAGAAGCCGCTGCAGCAGTGGATTACTCCGCGACGTCGGTGCATACATACATGCGTGCTGGGAACTCCAATCAGTGCCAAACAGCTATTGAATCGCCACGTGCGCAACAGAGGCTTCGGGTCACGGCTCTGTCTCGTTTACCATGCTTTGAATGCTGCACCGCAGTGCTGCCGTATACCACTCGCGTCATGAGCCTGCAGACATGGGCGGAGTGGCCGTCTCCCTGACGTCCCACCCGTCAACTGTATTCCCTCGGTTGGAGCGACGCCTGAACGGCCAGCTACAGCAGGTGGACCGGCGGGACCGGCTGACGTCACTGTAACGCTCTGTTCCAGCTGACGGAGCGGCACCGGAACGGCCAGCTACAGCAGGGGGACCGGCGGGACAGGCTGACGTCACTGTAACACTCTGTTCCAGCTGACGGAGCGGCACCGGAACGGCCAGCTGCAGCAGGTGGACCGGCGGGACCGGCTGACGTCACTGTAACGCTCTGTTCCAGTTGACGAAGCGGCACCGGAACGGCCAGCTGCAGCAGGTGGACCGGCGGGACCGGCTGACGTCACTGTAACGCTCTGTTCCAGTTGACGAAGCGGCACCGGAACGGCCAGCTGCAGCAGGTGGACCGGCGGGACCGGCTGACGTCACTGTAACACTCTGTTCCAGCTGACGAAACGGCACCGGAACGGCCAGCTGCAGCAGGTGGACCGGCGGGACCGGCTGACGTCAATGTAACACTCTGTTCCAGCTGACGAAGCGGCACCGGAACGGCCAGCTGCAGCAGGGGACCGGCGGACCGGCTGACGTCACTGTAACACTCTGTTCCAGCTGACGAAACGGCACCGGAACGGCCAGCTACAGCAGGTGGACCGTCTGGACCGGCTGACGTCACTGTAACACTCTGTTCCAGCTGACGAAGCGGCACCGGAACGGCCAGCTGCAGCAGGTGGACCGGTGGACCGGCTGACGTCATGTAACACTCTGTTCCAGCTGACGAAGCGGCACCGGAACGGCCAGCTGCAGCAGGTGGACCGGGGGACCGGCTGACGTCACTGTAACACTCTGTTCCAGCTGACGAAGCGGCACCGGAACGGCCAGCTGCAGCAGGTGGACTGGGTGGACCGGCTGACGTCACTGTAACACTCTGTTCCAGCTGACGAAACGGCACCGGAACGGCCAGCTGCAGCAAGTGGACCGTCTGGACCGGCTGACGTCACTGTAACACTCTGTTCCAGCTGACGAAGCGGCACCGGAACGGCCAGCTGCAGCAGGTGGACTGGGTGGGCCGGCTGACGTCACTGTAACACTCTGTTCCAGCTGACGAAGCGGCACCGGAACGGCCAGCTGCAGCAGGTGGACTGGGTGGACCGGCTGACGTCACTGTAACACTCTGTTCCAGCTGACGAAGCGGCACCGGAACGGCCAGCTGCAGCAGGTGGACTGGGTGGACCGGCTGACGTCACTGTAACACTCTGTTCCAGCTGACGAAGCGGCATCGGAACGGCCAGCTGCAGCAGGTGGACTGGCTGGACCGGCTGACGTTCCGCGAGATTGAGCTGATCAATGAGCGCGAGAAGCGCTCCTCGTCGGCGCTCTACCTCATGATCGAGTTCCCCAAGATCCTGTGCGACAAACAGGAGGTGAGACGTAGCGGTCTCTCGTTTTGGGCCCACCCGGTGGTCGATTTCGCCGAGGTCGTCCTCGGCGGATCTTAGCACGATGCGCCGTACCGCTCCTGCTGGCACGAGAAACGGAACCTTCTTGGCCCGCTCATGACCACGGGGGCGGCGGGCGCAACGGTCGTGCCCCGTCCATCAGTCTCCGGCCCTCGGGGAATCCTGATGGTACGCACCGTTCAGCTCAGCGTGACGCGGCGCGAGGGCCGGTCGCCGGGGGCTGGCCGCCCCTGCCGCGGCCGACCGGCGGACGTCTGTCAGTCTGCGGCCCTCCCAGCTGCCGCGCGCCGCCAGGGCTGCCCCGCTGACGCTCCGTGACCGGCTGTGTCGCGGCTGTTGCGCCCCGTAGCTTCCAACATGCCGAGCTCTGCCAAACACTCATGACATGCCGCAGGTTGCACTGGCGGCGTCGGTACGGCCGGGTTTCATCTCGTGGGTAATCCGGTCGCCATTTACAATGACGTGCTCTGTAAGCTCGGTTAAGGCCCATTTCACGAAACGCACAAATCGTCCCTTGCGGTGCGATGCGTCGGCATGGCCCTGACGTCGCGTCGCTGACGCGGTACCTGCGTGTGTTTCCAGTACGCGATGGTGTACTTCGAGCAGGGCGCCAACATGGAGGTGCAGTACCGCACCTGGACCGACCTGGTGACCGTCGACGATCACGAAGCGGAGCTGGTGAGAGATCGCGCCCGCGGAGCATGCCACGCCCGGCTCCGGAGACCTGCTGTCGCTGTGGGGCAAGGGGGTGTCGTTTGATTCAGGTCGCGCTGAGCCCGGTCTGGTAGAATGCTGCCGTGCAAATGGAAAAGGGCCTGTGCGCTGTTTTACCGAATGGCGCTCAGGCCTTTCTACCTTTGGACGGTCGAATGGACAAGATTCTGATGAGATGTTTGACCATATTTCTGGCTCGCTCCGTGTGAAGTTGCGTACCTCTGCTTGGTGAGAGGCCCATAAGCTGGGCTTTGAGCAAATGTATTGCCAACTTTTGATTGTTGTCTCGATTGTTCTAACCTGACGTCATGTTCCCATGTGCGACGCGGGCCTGTCTCCAATCCACCTTGTTCCAAGCGGGTGTTCCACGTTTGCGTGTTCGACACGCAGCACCAGTTTGCCGGGCTAATCCTCACGGGACGTTCCATCCGATCGTTGTTCACAAAAGGAACCGCCGGACACCGCCACTCTGAACCCGCCCGATGCTGCTGTCGATATCCGCGTTGGCGACGCGTTTGTGTGATGACGCTCTGCATCAATCGAAATCTGGGCAAACCCGTCGGCGTGTTCAGAGGCCGCTTTGCCGACATGCTGCACCGCTGGTGACACTGCTTCGTTCACTTCTCATGTCCGTCGACTTCCCCAGAGGCGTCGCATGGCACGCCTTTGTCCGGAAGACCACGCAGCATCTGAACGGCCTCTGTCGCCGGAGCAAAAGTCGAGCCTGGCGGCGACGGCTGTCGCGCGGTGCGATAGCTTCCGTCGCCTGTCGCGCCTCGTCCCGCGCCTCGTCCTCCGCGCGGGGGCGGATATGGCCCCGGCCGCACCCGGACGTAATGTAGGTCACGTCCGCCGCCCTCGGGGACGCGCGCGGCCGGCGCGTGCACCGTGTCCCGCGCACGCGGAAGCGAGAAGCGGGCGCGAAGCGAGGCGCCGGCCGTCGGGCGACCTTGGAGAGCCGCCACGGAGCCGCGTCTGGTGCCGTTCCGTGTCGTCCTGGCCGGCCCACACGCGTCGGAGGACCTCCGCCTGGCTACGCGCGCGTTCTGTCCGTTCGCATGGACGTTTCGGCGAACGAGTCGGAGTTCGTTTGTGCTCGGGCGCTTCGTATCCATATGTTTGAGTCATGACTGGAGGACGGACTCGGTGCGTGTTGACTGTCGTTCTGAAGAGTTCGTAGATAAGACCGGACGCAGCGGCGACCGGCGAGACGGCGGCGTCGGGACCCACGGTTAATTACGCCTCTGCTAGCGCCCTGCCGTTCCGCGCCCGCGTCCTTGTCGTAACGTGTCACATAGGGCAAGGACGAGAGTACGCATGTTACAGCCGGCAGGTGCGGGTATGTCGCCGCGCACATTTAACCCCAGCCGAAAAACACCAACGCTCCGCGAAGTCGAATGGGCGCCGCCTGCGAGTCGCGTCGGTCTCCGAGCCTGTCGGCGGCCGGCCTTCCGAGCGCGCCCGAGGTGCGGTGACCCGGCGGCCGTCTTGGCGGCGGGCGGCGCCTCGGGGCCTCCGCGGCACACTTGTTGCCGTATGGCAGCCGCGTGAGTGTGCGATCGATCGACGGCCGGCGGCGGCCGAGCGGCGGCGCCCAGCTGTGAGCGCGTGAGCGCCGGCCCGCGCCCGTCCATGGCTGCGCTCCGACCGACCGGGCTGGTCGCCGCCCAGCTCGCTGTCGAGGCCTGCGGTGCTCAGGTCAGTGCGGGCCGCCGTCCCTCCCCCCGGATCTCGCCTCGCCTCGGGCGCGGGATGCAGATGTCGAGCCGCCAGCCCAGTTTGTTGTCCGGTCCCGCGCGTGGACACCTGCGGTTGTGCTAGTTCCGTAGCGTGTGTGTGTGTGGTTGCTCCAGTGTGGAAGAAGACGGCTAGGGTGGCCCTCCGCCCAGGTGCTGCTCCGCACAGCGGGACTGCCCAGCTGGACCGCGCTGCGCTTGTGCCCGCCGGCGTAGCGTCATCGGCGGTGGCGCCGGCCAGCTGTCGCAGTGCTTTGATCCGCTGCTGCCAGTCAGCCGCCGCGCTGGGACCGGCGGGACCCCGCGGACTGGCAGACAGGTAGCCGGGCTGGGACCGGCGGGACCCCGCGGACTGGCAGACAGGTAACCAGGCTTGGACCGGCGGGACCCCGTCGGCTGGTAGACAGATAGCCGGGCTTGGACCGGCGGGACCCCGTCGGCTGTCAGGCAGGTAGCCGGGCTCAGCTCATAGCTTAGCCGCCCGGTCAGCTCGCCCGAGCTCCCTCCGGTCGGCTGCAGGCAGCTTGCTTCGGGTCAGTGCGAGGTAGCGCCGCCTTATGGCCAGGGTATTGGAGAGTAGGTGCGCCACATGTTGTTGAATGGGCCGTGTGATGTGCAACAGAATATCAGAGCGCTGTCCTGTGATATTTTAAGTACGCATCCCCTGTTCGCACGATCAGGCAGCGTGGTGAGTGTGATGTGGCCTAACGTGGCCTGACGGACTTGGCGGCGATGGTCCTCGCAGTTGCTATCATTCTCCATTTCTGCTTAGCATGACTGGCTCACTGCAGCCTTTTTCGTAGGTTGGTGTTTCCTGACGTTTTACTGTATCTCTGAATGCGTTGGTCATTAGGAAATCCAGGACGGTATGTAACGGTTAACTATTGTTCGCATTATCCCACACTACGGGTAAAGTTGTAAAGTAAGCGTCTTGTGGCGTTGTTTTGATCATGCGAAAGTCGTGCTTCAGTACACGTACCGTGGGTTGTTGGTTCTGTCCTCTGTAATTGTAAATGTCGCACGAAATAGGACCACTGAAGCGCATTTTCTCACTTATCACTGCTTCGATCCGTGTCATTGTTTGCGATACTGACCAAACCGCGTCCACGTGCGACATACTGCATGTCACTGCCTCCCGAGCTTTTTACGTCTATCACTGTGATAGGGCTTGAGTGGCTGATTAGGTCTGTGGTATGGGTTTCGTACGTCGAGGTCTCCGCGGCCTCGGTAACACGGGGCTGTTCCGTTCGTGCTTGCGGGAGAGAAGGCACGTGCAGGTTGACTGAACTGAAATATGTCTGCTCCGTGCAACGAGGGAGAAGAAGATCTCCGCCAGTGTCACAGATTCGTAGCTTTTCTAGATGTAAGCTGTGGGCTGCTCGAGCTGGTTCAGTGCATGGAGCAAATCCACCCCAGATACTCATGACGAAACCCCAGCCTACTCACTGTGAGGCGACCTACTGAGGTTACCACGCTACATTTTTGCTCTGTGGACATCAGTGGGCGTTCAGTTGCGGATCGTAGCACACGTCCTGCACCGGATAAACTTATGCGGACAGGCAGACAAGAGAAAAGGAAGGATAGCAATGCGACCGAGTACAGACAGTGCCAGCAAGGGTGTTTGAGCATGCGATATCATCCATGTTCCCTCACCCGGACATGCTCAGGAGCCTAGCTTTGCCGTTGCTGTCACGGTCACATGCGCCGTGCGTGGTCCTAGCTGTCTGGATCATCCGCTCGCTTCGTGGAGTGGTGTCCCCCGCGGCCTGGCGTTCCGGCCCTCCTCTCGTGTCCATGTCATCAGGTGGTCGGCCACCCACGCGCGCTGCTCCGTGCCGGTCCCCCAAGCGCCGTCTCTGCGGGCCGCGCACAGCCATGGCCCCGTCGTGCTCCCCTCCCCCGGGAGGCGGAGCGCGCTGTTGACGCGTGCGCCCACTCCCCCCCCCCCCTCCCGGCCGCCGGCAGCGCCCCCTCGACCTCGGCGGCGACGCGCCGACGGCCGACCGGCCGCAGTGCTGCCCGCTCGGCCATCCAGTGCGCGTGCGCGCCGACCAGACGCCAGCCATGATGAAGGTGGCCTCGCCGGCGGGGCCGGAGACGGCGGCGCGGCGCGCCCTGGTGGTCGCTGGTCGGCCGGCAGGTACGCGCCTGACCCTGACCCCGTCCGCCGGCGCTGACGCGCGGCCGAGGTCAGCCGAGGCCAGCAGGCGGCGTGGCTCCGGACGGTGGGCAGTAGCGTACCGACGCCCGAACCGAGCGCGTGTGCGCGCCCCGCCTGCCCGCAGCCGCCCGCCGACGCCGCGAGCCCACGAAGCCAGAACAGTCATGTTTTGCGAGTTCGTGTTGGCGACGCGCCCGGCGTGGAGCTGCCGCTGGCTGAGTGTGAAGGCTGAGTTCAGCATGCAGGTCTGTGGTGCCGCCGGGCCGGCCGCGCCGCCCGCCCTCTGGCCGGTCGGCGCGTCTGTCCCGCTCTGCAGGTGTTCTGGGAGTCGGCTCAGTGTGTCAGCGTCGCCGATCTGCTGGCGGGCATTGCTGCGGTGGGAGGTGTCTTCGCCGCCCCCCCCCCCCCCTCGCGCTCAGGCGCTGCCGTCGAGTGCAGTCCGCACCAGTCGGACAACTCCTCGAGCAGACTACTTGGCGTGGCTCTGGAGCGCCTTTGCGCTGCGCGTGCTCGCTCCCTGATGCCAGTCTGTGCAGGCACGGTGTTGATCTTCTTCGCGGCCCGAAAACTCGTCGGCGGTCTGTTTACAGCGACGAGGCTGTGGGTGCCTCGCTTGTGATCCGGCCAGCTGACTCGAGGCGGAGGGGCAATCCTGTGCACCACGGTCCTGTTCGGTCTCGTCTGAAGCTGGTTCGCGCCGGCCTCGTCTCTCGGACGCCTGGGAACTCCGTCTCAGTGTCACCACTGGACATTCATCTTCTAGCTGGTCTGAGCGATTTTCCCCATTGGAGAGCCATCTTCGCACACTGTGCCATGATGCCGCCGCCGCCGCCGCATCACTCCTCCGTGTCATGGCATTGGTGTGTCCCGTGAATGCTGACGACCGTTTGTGTCCCACTGCTCAACTGACACTGATTCCTGGCGTCACCTTACGGGATGGTCACCATCGCTGATGGCGGGACCACCGTCCGACCGTCCGAGAGGCCGTCCGTGACCACTGCCTGCCGCCGTCGCTCCCGCCTGCGTGGCCAGCGTGGCTGCCTCGGCAGGGGCCTCCTCCGTCAGCGGTTGTCTGCTCACTCTTGTGTCGCCGGCCCTCGCATCCCGCTGACTCCTGGCGCGGTCTGGCCCGTCGGGTGCATCTGTGGACTCCACACGTGACTTTGTGGCCAGCGGACTCCTGCTCCGGCCTGGCCTGTGTGACCGTGCATCACGCGGGGGCCTGCCGTGCCCTGCCCTGGCTTGCGCTGCGTATGCTGCCAAGGCCTGGCCTGCCCTGACCTGTCTTGCGCATCCTGCGGGGCTATACCGGAACCAACCTGGCCTCACCTGACCCGACCTGACTTGCCCCACGTGTCAGCGGAGGTCCGCCCGACCCCGACCCGCCCCACGTGCGCCGCTGCTGACCTGGCCGGCGCTGCTGCAGGACAACCTGCTGGAGCTGAAGCACCATCACCTGGCGCGCTCGCTGCGCTCGGGCGTCACCGACCG